TGATTATGAAAATGTGACATGTGAATATGTGTATATGAAATTACTCGATGTGAAAGTGCCTATGTTAACAAGATATACTTTGAATAACGAAATGATAAATAATTATGTTTTTAAAAGCCCAATGTATATGTATGAGGATTAGAGGTATAGTTGGTATGCCAAGATTCGATGGTTCTATGTGGTCCTTCGAGACAAAATTATGTGGTCCTTCAGGACAAATATGTGGCACTTCGGTGCAAATTATGTGAGTTGTGGTGACAACATTAGTGCACAACCTCAATGTACTCAAATACCTAGAGTTCTCAGTAATATACATTGGTCCATTAAAAACAAAGTTATATGAACCGATCAATGAATAAAAGAATCTATTCGTGTTATGAAAAGTAATTTGAATCCCTTATGAAATGTTTTATGACATGAATAAGAAATTTTGTTTATAAAGTTGTATTTGACTCGTATTTGCCTCGCTAAGTTAACAACTTAGCATGTGATTGTTTCACACATAGGTTTAAAGAAAACAGAAGGTTGAAGATAGCCAAGGATAACATACTCGTGTAAAGATTAGATCAAGACAATTTAAATGTAGGTTTCTTGTAAATTTGTAAATTGTTGGCTTGTACTACAAGTTTAAATTGAAATGCTCTGATCTATTTTGTAAACTTATACTTTTTGTATTTATGTAAATTATTAAGGATTTATTTAAGTATGAATGCGAGTTTTTATTATTTACTTTGATTGAAGGGTTCCACAATTTTAGTACAAATAAAAGCTTAAATTTTTCCCTACTTTTAAGAGTAAATGTTTTGAAAAGTCAATTTGATACCTCGGATTCGTATCTGGGTCGGGTACAGGTTAGGGGTGTTACACAAATGTCCAAGGTATGAGAAGTATATTCAAAATGATGGGGTTGGTTCACTCAGCAATATAATCGCTAATATAGAGAAACATAAGAATTTATAAACATAAGTGCGCTAAAGATATGGTATTAAGCGACAGTTACATGCATGATCCTAATCAAGTGCTACCTACTTGAGGGTTAACTGTTCTATTACTGAATTATGAGTCTCATGCTTCCCTTAATCCTCTGTTAGGGGCCTTTCCATGAGTACCCCTGTAAAGAGTCTCTAACCCTAATAATTATGACTACTATGCATTATCTAAAAGTAATACTAACTCTGATGTGCATTATCTGAATACGACCCTGACTCTACTATGCAACACATAAACATAAACACATAAGCTGAGGTATGCATCATGAAGAGGGATACATCTCGAAGCTCACACATCCCTCTAACCTACCTATACTACTATACAACACACAAACTGAAGTAGACATCATGATGCAGTTGAGGACTACATCTCGAAGCTCATCTTTTGAAAATAAAATAATTGCACCTTTGGTCCTTTAATTCCAACATTAAAACCCCCTTTTGGGCTAATTGGAACCGACCCAATTAAACTAAACTCAGTTCATTGACTTAAATTATAAAATTCATGGGGTATAAACGAGTTAGCGCTTAAAGTTCAGGAGTATCTGATGTAATTTATCCTTTATTTTCTAAAATACCATCATAGATTTATTATGATGAACATGAATTTCTCATTTATTTTATTTTATTTTATATTTTTATCCCAATAGTAAAAGCAAAATTGAGATTTTCTGCTGTTTCCCTTATTTTTTGCTAAATATATTACGTTGTGTTTTCCATCAATTTTGACTAGAACTCCCTTATTTTTTTATTTATCTGGAAAGTCAAATTATGTAAGTTAGAATTAAATTTTTTAAGGACTTCTTTAAAAATTAGGGTAAACTACACAAATGGTCATTAAAGATGAGTAAATCTCCTCCTCCTTCTTTAGGATGAGTTAACCAAGAATGTTGCTTTCATCTTGAGGTTATAAAATATTGTTGTGATCTATGAATGAGTTGTACCTAATTTTTCAGGTTGGAACATTACCAAATTATGTGTTGAAGGTCAATTGGTCGACAGAGTGATGCATATGCGGATGAGATGCCAAAGCTTCTAACTAAGCTTTTTCGGACTTGCTTGCTCAGGTTTATGAGTGGTGAAGTTTTGCAGGTTGGAACATTGCCAAATTATATGCTGAAGGCCAACCGATTAACAGAGTGTTACATATGCAGATTATATGTCAAAACCTCTAACTAAGCTTCCTTAGACGTTTGTTCAGGTTTATGGGTGGTGGAATTTTGCAGGATGGAACATTGCCAAATTACGTGCTGAAGGTCAACCAGTTAACAGAGTGTTGCATATACGGATGAGATGCCAAAGTTTCTAACTAAGCTTCCTCATGTTAGTGTAAATGAATGAATGAAGTTGTTGTGCATGGGACATGAGCACACGTACTACTGCTGTGCATGATGGTTGCGCTAGACTTGTTTTTCGTTCGAGAAATGGTGGCTATGGGGCAACTACAAGTACATGAAGTGCCTGCAGTCGAGCAAGTTGCTGATGTGCTGACCAAGCCTTTATCAACGCTTTTATTTTTCAAACACAGACAACGGCTGCTGGTGGTACAACATAAAAACATATCAACTTGAGTTTTCAAGGAGGTTTGAAGTTGAAGGTTACAAGGGGAATGCTAGTGTAAATGAATGAATGAAGTTGTTGTGCATGGGACATGAGCACACATACTACTGTTGTGCATGATGGTTGCGCCTACATCTGATACATTGCAGCAAATCAGTTGAAGCAGTTAGTTTGTTGAAGTTAGTTACATCATTAGTTACAGCTATAGTTCTCACTATAATTACACTCCTTTAAGACTTGTAAAATTCACCTCTTGAAGATAATAAAGTTCAGAATGATTTCTCTCTTTAGTTTTGTTTATCGTTCTTGCTCTCATAGTTTAGATATCATTTGCTAATCTTTACACCTCAGACTTGCTTGCTCGGGTTGATGGGTGGTGGAAGAAGAAGAAGAAAACAAGAAGAAGATGATGATGAAGAAAAAGTTTGGTCAAACGTGTTGAGTCAACTGGTTTGACGCACCACGTCAATATTTCGTTACTATAGTAACGGTTGTTAACGAAGAGTGATTGATTTGTGATAAATCAGTAATGTTAGTGATCAATTTGTCACTTTTGAAACTTTAGTCAAAAAACAAAAACTTACTCAAACATTAATGACTATTTGTGTAGTTTATCCTATAAATTTTGTTAGGTATATTGAAGATAAATTTATTTAAAAACTTTTTTTATGATTGTTTGTCAAATTTTTAGTAAATTATACAAATAATCATTTGATTATTAAGAATATTAAATGATCACTCCACTTATCAAATTCTATCTTTATCACAGGTTGTTGATAATGGGAGGCTAATCTCAATTATAGTCAAAATTAATTTCGAATGTTTTAACAACTATTTAAGAATTAGGATGTATTTGCAGTGTATCATTCACACTCCTTTCTATTTTTATTGATGAGCGGCCATACTAACGGTGATGTTGGTTGTGACTGTGGTAGTTTTTATTATTTTATTATTTTTATATCGTATATTTAGATTTCCTTATTTTAAATTTTTAATAAGTCTGTTTTTACAACACATATTTTCTGTCATTTGGTCGTTGTATTTTTATTTATCTTTTTTAAGGGTCGATACTTGATGTGCATTCATTGATAGTTTTTCACATTGTTCGACTCTGATTTACGATTTTGTTAACGGCCTTTCAATAAATTGATTTCTTTTTGTGGTTCATTTGTTGATACGATCAGATATGTTTGTATTTATTATTGTTCGAGTTTTAATTAGATTTTTTAATCATTCCTTGTATGGTCCTTATATGATCTTAAATTGTTAATTTCAAATCAATAATTTTAGGAAATATCTTAATTATATGTTTAATTTATAATTATAATTGTAATTCGAGATTTTTAATAAAATTATTGACTTCTACGAAAAAGGAAATTATGAGTGTAAATTTAAAAGATCGCCGAACCAGAACATAAAGCCTCATTCTCCACAACCAATGGCATTTTCATTTATTTCTATAATTTGAAACTTACTTTTCATTTATTTTATAAAATTAAGATCAATTGATATAAAATATAAATAATAAGAGTTATTTTTTAAGGAAATAAAATTAAATCAACACAAAGTGTCACGTTATTGGCTAAACTTACTATTATATTAATTTTATAAAATTCGCATCAACCTTTTGTTATTGATGATAAAAAATAAATCTGATATCTCCAATGATATTTTATAATTTTTAATAATCCAATAATCAAAAGAAAATAATTAATGATCATATAATTATTCATGTAGTTAAAAATTTTATTTATTAACAGTGTATCAGATAATTATGTATGAATCAAATGATTTCAATAATTAAGAAATTGTTATTTATTAACTCCTCAAATTCATGCATCGCATATATAATGTTAACATATGATCCTGAATTTTTTTCCACTCAATATACCATTAAAATGATAAAAATCAATTTAATTTTTTAATTAATAATATCAAACATTAATCATTTTGATATTGATATATCGATTAACAACAATTTCAAATACAATTTCTTAGCGGGCCAACTTATCTCAATGATTAAAGTAATTGTTGTTATTTATAGAGATTATGAGTTCGAGCACCAACGGTTACAACAAAGTGATTGAATGTTCATTGTAGAATGATTAAGAGTGTTAAAACTGATATCACTTTATAATCACCGTAGTTTAATAAAAAATAAAAACTATTTCCTAAAATAGAATATTAATCAATAAAATAATTTAAAATTAATATCAAATAAAAATATTATTTTTAAAAAGAATATATTTGAATAAAAGAACTTAAAAGCCAAGTGTGATAAAATTTCAAACATGCTTTAATTTTAACACCAGACAATTTCCTAAAATATCACATTAGTCACCACCAACTGCCATGTTTCAACACCATACATTTGTCTTCAAAACACTGTATACGTGAGGAAGGACAGACAAAATTTGTACTCAAATTAAAAACTAAAAATCATAATTTTTCAAAAAAAAAAAAGGAAATTTGCAGAAAGAAAGGAAAACCCAGAAAGAAAATGGCAATGGTGACTGTATCCAATTTAGTTTCATTCCAAAAGGTGAATGTTTTTTTCCTTTTTTCTTAATATATTTTCCTGTTTGTTTTTGATTTTTTTTAAAAAGTAAAAACTAAATCGGGGATTAAATTACTTTGTTGACAGAGTCATGGATTCCATGTAATTTGCAGAAGGAAAGAAAAAGGAAGAGAAAATCACAGTAATTACCCCTACAAAGTCGTCGAAATTACTCCCCCGCCCAAGTCCCTTGGCGTTCGTTCCTTCCCTCCCGTAAGTCCCGTTTTTTTTCTTTCCTTTGGAATCACAAGTCCCAGTTTCTGTCTTGTAAAGTTGTAATTTAATGTCATTTTGTTGTTTTAATTTCTTTTGTTTTTCTTTATTTATTGATTTGGTCGGGAAATTAGTCATTTGGATCTGTATCTCTATATTTTTATGGGAAAAATGGTAGTAAAGCATTTGAATTTAGGTTAAATTTATGACTACAAAATTGCCTATGGCATGCTTCTTTGCAAAATATAATGTTGGTTTTTGAATAATGTGTTTGTAGTAGCTTATTTTGATGGCATTCTTGATTATTTTACATAGTATTATTTTTTTTATGAAAATCAAGCATGAGATAACAAGTTTAGTCTTACCTCTTACGCTAAGATATTGAATAGCTTTCCCAAATTCAAGTTGATTATGTTTCATATTACGTCGGATAAAGGTGATCAGACAATCTCTGTAAGATTTTGAATTAGTTGTCTTGAGGTCAAGTTGAATATGTTTTGCCTATTTCTTAGAGAAAAACAATCAAATGATTCCTGATCTAATTCTAAAGTAAGACATATGATGGAAGAAGATATGTGATAGAAAAAAGTTGATTACATTTTGCCTCTTACAGGGAGAAAGGCAATCGAACAATTCCGGATTATGGTCTTAAAGTAGTATATGTATGTATGTAATGTGATGGCAATTGTTTTTTATGTTTTGCCTCTTGCCTGGAGAAAGGTGATCGGATAACTCTGGGTCATGGGGTTTAAAAGTAAGATATCTAATGGAAGATACATGATGGAAATGATGTTTCCCCCATGAAAGCAAAGTATTTTACTTGTTTTACCCAACTGTGAAGCAAGGTATAGTTATATACCTGTAAGGGATGGCACTTTGGGCTTCGGTGTCAAAACTTTGTTGTTGAGGATGTGGTAAAGTGAAGTCGAAAGTGAAAAGTACAGATTCGATCTTTTCCAAGTGTTTTAGTCTATGCAAGTGAAATCGATTAATGGTTAGTGGGTTTATGCAATGGAAGCTGTCTGAAAACTGTATGAGAAATGGAAATGCTGGATAGTTTATGAGATTGGATTGAAGTAGTGGTCATCAGATTTTCAGCTTTTGATGATCTCTCGTTCGTTGTTTTCCTCCCTTCCCCTAATTCAGGCCCATAATGATATCAACGGCATGATGATACCAAGACATCAAGAACTTGTAATCGCTTTTAGATAAGTTTAATGAGTTTTTTCTTGCATCAGACCCGTTCCATCCGTAGAAAAATATGAAGGCTCGGACTATTGATCTCTCTTATACTGATGTTCGAGTTTAATGAGTTTGTAAATGCCAATGGCCATTCGTTATGTGTTTCAACGGGGACTGATAGGTCCGATACAGTTGTGAAACTCAAACTCAAAAAACCTACATATCATCAAATTGCTGTTGGGATATTTATGTTCCGTCTCTGTTAGTTCTGACGATTAATTGTTTCCTGTGCATCAGAATTTGCAGTGTGGGGAGAGCGTGACAATTGAAGGCCAAACATATATGATCTCAGCTGTAACACACCGGTACCAGCTTCGTAAAGGAAAGTACGAACCAAGCGAAAAGCGACTCGATGTTCTGTCGACAGGGAGATACATCTTAAACTTATATCTTGAAAGCTTGCTAGAACAGTCTTGATGCGTAGTTTTCTTACATTTTAATGTTTAACTAACGTAGATGAATCCTGTGGTTGGATAATGCTTGATTATCATCTGTATGAAATCATTATCTCATTATCTTTGCATCAAATCAATATGTTCAGCCAGATTAACGAAAGGGGTTGCGGATATTGCGATTGATGCCATCTCTTAAAATGAGTTGCGCAAGCCCATCCGAGCCGAGCACCAGATTCACTTGAAGGTTCTGTTTTCAGTTTTGGTGCTAAATTATGCAATTTCTTGCCATTGTCATTTTTGTTAATGTTAGATAATCATCAAGCAATGCAAAAGGAAACAGCTTCCGATATTATTTACAGAGATTTCATTTCAATTGCCCTGAGTAATCCTATAATTCTAAAGGCTAAACTGCAAGCATCCTAAAACAAAATAAATAATGCCTACAAAGATTTATATATTAAGCTTGTTTATCATCTCTTGAACCAATCTCAGTGTAGTTCCATCAACCTTCTCTCCATCGGCATCGATTGCCTGCATAATCTGCTCCATCAGTTCGTGTCTCGACTGTTTACTTGTTGAAGCATAATCCGTGCAATCCCGGAGAAGAAACAACAGATCCCTAGCCATGTTCTTGGCTCCCCAAGTTCCATCAACACTGAGTTGAAGCAGTCCAGGCATTACACCCTCCATTAATATCAACCCTCTGTATTTATCCCTACAGCTTTGGCATATATGAAGAAGGATCCCAACGGCATGTTCTTTGCACTGCGGTGAACCATCTTCCATCGCCTCGACTATAATCCGTATTGCACCGGCAATCGTGGTTGTCTCAGAAACCGCGTCCTCCGATGAAAAGACGATGCTCTTGAGTAATGAAATCGCCTTTTCCGTCAAGTCCGAGGATTTCTCTTCTTTATAAAATTCCTGTTCTATGTATTTTTTTTTTACAGATTTAGTCCCTCTTTGAAATGTGTATTTTTTAGTCATGAGCCCAACTTTTCCCCGTTAGTTCTCTAAGTAAAAGCATGTGATTACGTAGCATATACACTTTAATATTACTGTATATGTGAAAAAATAGATTTTTTTGTCTTATTAGACAGATAGAATTAGCATTAAAAGAAAGAAAGAAAGTTCTCGTTATAAGAGAGGATCAAACTGATTATAGTTGAGGGACTAAATACATATAAATGCATAATACAGGGACCTTGTACAAAACTTGACCAAATTATTGATAAATTTCATTGGATTCTGCAAACAAAAGAAAAATGGAGTCGGAGTGACAGACAGACAGACCTTTCACTGCCAAATGCAAGGCCAAGAAGGGATAACAAAGAAGCTTCGATGGCTTCAAAATCCTGGGATTGGAGCATTGAAATCAAGGGTGGAATGATCCCGGTTTCAGCCAATCTATGCCTTTGTTTGCTACTCAGTTTACTGAGTTGAGTCGCCGCTTCAATCTGCGATTCTCTGTTGCCATTGCAGAGGTTTTCCACCACCCAATCCTCCATTGACAATAGAAATTAAAAAGAAAAACTTCGGTGCCAATGGGGGGAAATACTGAGGGCATACAAATAGGTTATTAGGTGCTGGTTGCTTCAACAAGTGATCTTTGGCTTTTGTGGGCATCCATTGTTCAACTTGAAGCAAGCTTGCTATTCCCTTTGGAAAATAATACGAATCAGTCATACACAATTAAATGATTCCCAAGCATGAATCTTTAACTTTCCTTGTATAGAAGCAAACACCCATTGCTTTTAAATTAAATAATTTCTTCCTTGTATACACTAAATGATATTACTGATTTCGAATTGAATATTTTATTATTTGAAAATCAAATAAACATCTTTTTTTCCCCTTTGGCATTTATGGTTGGAGAAGTATATTGTGTATGGGGGATTGCTTAGCAAGGTCAAAAGTAGTGATTATATGTTAGATTTCTTGGGGCTTTAATTTATGAACAAAGAGTGCCTAATGGTTGGTTAGGGTATTCATTTTGGGAGCATACAAAAGGTTATTAGGTGCTGGTTGCTTCAACAAGTGATCTTTGGCTTTTGTGGGCATCCATTGTTTCAACTTGAAGCAAGCTTGCTATTCCTTTGGAAAATAATACGAATCAGTCATACACAATTAAATGATTCCCAAGCATGAATCTTATTCCTTGTATAGAAGCAAACACCCATTGCTTTTAAATTAAATAATTCTTCCTTGTATACACTAAATGATATTACTGATTTCGAATTGAATATTTTATTATTTGAAAATCAAATAAACATCTTTTTTTCCCCTTTGGCATTTATGGTTGGAGAAGTATATTGTGTATGGGGGATTGCTTAGCAAGGTCAAAAGTAGTAGTGATTATATGTTAGAGATTTCTTGGGGCTTTAATTTATGAACAAAGAGTGCCTAATGGTTGGTTAGGGAATTCATTTTGGGAAATCTCTAAAGATTTTATATTCGCGTTTTAATTAGTAATTAATATTAAAGACGGATTTAGAAAATTTAAATTTGTTAACAGTATATAAATAAATTACGGGTTTTTTTTAATAATCACTTTTTTTAAAACTCAGTGTTGATATTAATTTTATTTTAATATTTTTTAATGTAAATTTTATAAAGATATTTACTAATTTTTTAGGTGGTCCATTGAGTCCTCTTTTATAAGAGTGATTTCATCATTGACTAATATATACTTTTATTATGAAAATAACATGTGTTATGCATTGCATGCAACTTTAATTACTCCTTTGATTTCCTTTAATTATTTGGGTGAGAAATTCCTAGAACAAACTACCCATAGTTTTTATGACCCAATGCTGAGGTCTTTTTGCCACCTAACTTCTGTACTCTTTGTATTATGTTATGTATAATGATTAAAACCATGTTATGATACTATTGAATTTTATTATTTTAATTTAATCCCACTTAATTCTCTCTATATTTATCTACTTATGATTATAATCCACTTGATTAAATCATTAATCCATGCCACGTTAACAAGAAAAAGTAGTAGGATTATAGGGCTTATTGGAAACTTCAGTTTTCGTATCCCTAAAGGATAATGTTCATAATTTTCAAAATAATGGTTAAAACTATTCATAATAATTAAATAAAAATATATTTTTAAAAAAATGGGGAAATGCATGGGATGTGAGACCATTGCGTTATTTTTAGCTTTACTGTCGCCGCTGTTCGGCGGCATTGCCTTTACGGAAAATATTTCTCAAAATTTGATGATGGTTCATCTTTCGAAACTTTGTATTTACAAAATAATAATTGCTCTTCCTCCCTCATTTTCCTAAACTCGTAATGTATTATATATTAACGCACAAAATACAAGCTTATATAGTTAAACCCCTTCGAAACAAATGAAAGAGTTAATTGCTTGATAAAATAACATTTTTAATAGTTTAGAGTGATTATAAGGTAGTGTCTGTTTAAAATTTTATTAATTTATTGATAATGTGTATACAATCTGTAAACACAGTTACCTGAAACCAAAATATTAAAAAAAATATCATTTTTACCACTAAAATCACTTGATGAGTTCATAAACAACGTTTAATTACCCATTAAATTAAGAATTATAATCAAACTTACTAAATAACATTGATGGTTAAAGAAAATGTTATTATTTATATATGTATTGGCTTCTAAAAGTTACATGTGTAATATAAAATGTATCTACACTATCAATAATTAAAAAATTAAACAAATATTAACTAAATGAGTTCATATATATGATTATTAACTAAAAATACTTTTAGTTTAAATGTTCGTTTTGACGGCAAAACCAATATTAAACGGGTAAAGATTGAAAAAAAATGTTATGAAAACAGTGGTTTCAAACCAACCATAAAAGTTGAGATTTCTAATTTTTTTTATTTTCAACTTTACGTTTAGAATCAAATTTATATTTTTACCTTTATTAACGTATGAGCTCCACTCATTTGCCTTGGAAAAGAACTTTAAAATTCAATTTCCTTTATTAATTATGTATTCATATTTTATTTCAATAATTTAATATTAACATCTTTAAAAAATAATTTATTATTTAAAAATTTATTTTAATTACTTAGAAGTAAAACAATTTATGATTCATACATAAAAATTTTAATAGTAATTTATTATCAAATATATTTTTACTATAGTTATATTTTTTATTTTGTATATTATTATTATAATTGAAATTGATATATTTCATATATAATAATAATTTATTTTAAATTTATTTATGATTTATATCTTTTTATTTTTATTTTTGAATGGCTAAAAAGATAAATATATCATTTAAATTATTTTATTTTAAATTTTAAATGAATGTTTGTGGTTAAATTATAATAATTTAAATATTATTTTAATATTCAAATAATAAAAAAGTATTGATAATATATTTCTTTTAATAAATATTTCACATATAAAAATATTATTATTGATTTATGTTTAAATACTTTTTTATATTTTTATTACAATGTAAGTTGATATATTTTATATATCATAGTATTAATAATAAGTGTTAATATAATTTAAATATTATATTTTTAATTTATAAAATAATGTTCAAAATAGATATTTTATTTTTTTAAAATCATTTTAATAATAATTTCAAATAGTTAAATTTTAAACTACACATTTAAAAAATGCTTTCAAAAATTATTTTTTCACACCACTTTTAAAAATACTTCATGAGAAATGCCCCTAAAGAGCATGTCTCATTTTAAATTATATTTCTTTATATGATTATTTTTATTTCCTTTATATGTTTCTTTTTGGTAATTAGAAAAAGGATAAATTAAACAAATGGTCATTAATGTTTAAGTAAGTTTTTGTTTTTTCAGTGAAGTTTCGAAAGTAACAAATCGGTCACTAGCATTATCGATTTGCTACAAATTGGTTACTAACATTATGGATTTGTTGCAAATTGTTCACCCAACGTTAACAACCAAACATGCAATGACAGAAAGCACAACTGGAGCGTTAACTGCTTACTTGAATTGCCACGATGGAGAGTCAAATGTCTTCAACGATCACCTCTTCATCTTTAAATAAAAACTCAGTTCCTAAATCTAATTTACCCTATTTTCATCTTTATCTCTTTTGTTTAAAAATTCTCAAAACATTCGTAAGATGGAAGGGCGCCAAGGGTAAATAACCCCAAGTGGATACAAAGGCAAGCTTGTTTTCCTTGATAGAAACAATCCATGCATTGAAACCCATATTGCTACAACACTACTTAATCTGTAAAGATAGAATTTGAAGGCTGTGAGGTTACCTGAGTAGCAATCGAGTCAAGTTCATCGAAGAAAAGGGTACAAGGTACAAACTGTCGTGTCTTGTCAAAAATTTCATGGACCTTATTCTCACTCTCTCCAAATCACATTGTAAGTAACTCTGGAATTTGACACTAATAAAGTTGGCCCCACATTGATTAACAATAGTTTTGGTAAGCAGTTAATGCTCCAGCTGTGCTTTTCGGACGTCATGCATGTTAACGGTTGTTAATGTTCGGTGACCGTTTTGTAATAATTTGATAATATTAGTGATCAATTTGTAACAAATCACTAATGTTAGTGACCGACTTGTTACGTTTGAAAGTAAAATCGAAAACTTACTCAAACATTTGTGTAGTTTACCCTCAGAAAAAAGAGGAGATTAATTCTTCATTGATTATCGGATCTTAACCATTAATTATCTCTGTCTTCAACCATGACCTAATCTTTATATCAAAAAACATGAAAAAATTACAAAATTATGTCAAAAGCAATTAATCAAAACACTCCCCAAAATCCTTCAAAATGTGGCGATGATGACCACCAGTGTTCATCAGAAGCAGATGAAGATGTTTTTCAAGATCCCACGTCATCAGATTATCAAAGCTTCTCTAATTCAACCCCAAGAAGACGAAAGAAAAAACCAAGAAGAAGACGAAAATGCAAAAAATCGCCGTTTTCATCGGACGATCCTTCGGTACGTATGGCAATGTACGTCGCCATGGCCCATGCAGGCCTCGTTTTAACCTTAATTCTCCTCTTCGGCCTCACCAAGCTCCTTCAAAACTACTGGCGGCCGATCCAATGGGCGATCCTTTGTTCCATGCCTTTACGCGAGCTTCAAACGTTAATGGTCGCATTTTGGGAACACCCTCTTTGCCTAGGCCTTTTCGAAACCCTAATCGCCATCCCGATCGCCATTCTAAGCGCCACCACCGCCTCTATCCTCGACTCGCATGCCGCATTCCTCCACCTCATCAGTTACCGCTCCTCCTCCTCCCCGCGGCGGGCGGCATCCGGTCGTAAAAAAGCACGTGTAATTGGTTTCTCCAAGCTTATGCAATGGCTTGTCACTTTTGGCCTTTTCGTTATTGTTTATGAGAAAATAGGGTTCTTCTCTATCCCTGCTATTACAGTTCCTTGCCTTTTAGCCTATATATCTGGTTTTGCGGTCATTATTAAGCCTGGCCTTGCTTCGACTCTCTCAAGAATCTCATCGGCTCGAAAAAGGAGAAAATTAAATTATACTATTCAGAATCATAGAAGTGTCTCATTCTTTGGCAAGTTAGATCAAAAGATTACTTCAATTTTGTTCAATAGATTGAATACAATAGTGGGAATTGGACTGATTTTGTTTTTGATCCTAGGGTCATTGTTGGGGTTTCTTATCTTTTCTTATAAGATTGCCATTGAAGGAAAAGAAGCGGTCATTTCATTGAAGATTCACTTGGAAGAGAACAATTACAGTGAGATAATTGGGATTAACAAATGGATTGATGAGAATCAAATCCCAGAGTTAATCGATAGCTATATGTCTAAGTTTTATGAAACTTTTTCACAAAACATTGATTCTTTAGCTGTTCAACACAATGTGACAGAGATTGTCGATGGTTTCAAGCAGTATTTCGTGTCGACATCAACAGTTATAGCAATAAATAATGAAAAAGTCTGCTGCAAAAGGCCTGTATACGAGACCCTTCATAGCATTCAATCAAAAGTGAAAAAAAGAGACTGGAAATCCATTTATGGAGACATCAATGGCGTGTATACGAAACTCAGGTCTTTGATAGCTAATAAGGATTTGTTAGCCAAAATCAAAGAGTTTCTGCTCCGAAGCTTGGATTCAACGAAGAAGATTCTTTCAAGCTGTTCAACGGTGTTGGCAACCGGTGTAAATCTCTTGTTCTTCGTGTTAATCCTCATCGTTTCAGGCGCAGCTGGATTGGTGAACTTCATATTCGAACTAATGGTGTTTCTGTGGCTTTTGTATTATCTGATAACTTCGGATTCAGGAGGGGTAATGGATCACGTTCTAGGAATGTTACCGGTTTCGAAATCGACCCGAAACCGATGTGCTCAAGTTCTCGATCACGCCGTCAGCAGTGTATTATTAGCCACTGTGAAGCTCACATTGTTCCAAGGGTGTTTTACTTATCTATTGTGCAGATTTTACAGGATCCATTTCCTATATATGTCGACATTTCTAGCTATTTTCAATGCTCTGTTGCCAATAACACCGGCTTGGATCTCGTCGATACCGGCGACGACTCAATTGGCGATGGAGTCGAGATATATCGAAGCTATCTTACTTACAACGGTTCATATGATATTTTTGGATTATGGAACGACAGCTATCCAACATGAGATTCCGGGACATAATGCTTACTTGACCGGCCTAAGCATCTTTGGCGGCATTGCTTTTTTCCCATCCATTTTAGAAGTACTATTCCTTTTGATTATATAACTAAATGTTTTGGATTGTGTTTTATAGTATCATAATTTTGGTGATGTTTTAACTTGCAGGGAGCAATTATGGGACCTTTAGTGATGACAGTGATCATTGCTTTGAAGAATCTTTATGTGGAATTTGTTCTCGCCTTTTGATGCTGAAAACAGTCATTGATTTGTATAATTTGCAAACCATTTTCCTTTTATAAATTTTAATCTCTGTTACTCTTTAGAAAACTCTTCATCTAAATTGCACTTTTTTTCACATGAACTGAGCCGGTTAACAATCAGATCAACTAGCTTTGAATCTAAGTAGAATGAGTTTAATTTGTTTCACTTTTTCAATGTAATTGGATATCCCAATGATTTTATATCTATATTCATATCAAGTCTTAACTGCATCTGTGTTTGTGATATTCGGGCTATTTTTAGCCAATTTGTGAACTAAAATAAAGCCAGATTGTGTGTATTACTTCTTGTTTGGTTCCTAAGAAAATCTACAAGTTTCCAATCTTTTACTCTCATTTGATTGCATCAAGCAAGATGAACAGCCCGAGTCTATATGTTGTCATGTCAAACACAGGTCTCACACCACACTGTAAGATATATCAGAATTAAAAGAAATGAGTTCCGAAATTCGATAAATTAGGATTGGAACCTTGTATTAGATCTTTAAGTTCAGTGATCAAGTTCTGCAGAAAGGTTCTGCCGACTTGAAGGCTTAAATTTACAATGAAAACTACATAATTTTTTAACCAGCTGCATTTCCATTGTCAGCAGCCTTATTCCAAGAACCTGGATATCTAGAACAGAGAAATCAAGGACATCCCAAACTTATCTTTGGCATCCTTGTCAAGTGGATCATCTCCCAAATACAAATTGATATAAGCCCTGCAGAGAAGTTCACTCTCAACCCTGGATATCACTTCTCCCATCACTGCAAAACACAACTTTTCTTTGTGACATTTCTGCATATAGTTATACATTATAATACTTTACATATCAGGCTAATACTATTTCACCATAAAAACACTCACCCTTCATTTCCAGAACATAGCCCGGAAGCCGAGAAACCTCGATAACGGACCCCTGTTAGCTTGATGCTATCCGATGCTTCTCCCATGAGCCTGTCATCAACAAAAACAAGGGATTTTAACTGAGTTGTGCTCAAAGGTCATAATGAAAAGTGAAGGGTGGTTATTACTTGTGGGCTAGCTCGTCGTTCTTCTTTCCACCGTTTAGTTTCTTGATGGATTCTCCAAGACCATCACCAAATTTCTTTCTTGCCATGCTCATGGTAATGGTAAGGCTGGAAAAGACAATCACCAATCTTACCACCATTTCTACATCACTGTTGATGACCAACTGATAGAGCTCATTGTCGGGCTTTTCCGGGGCTGTCCCAATCTTCGACTTCAACACATCTTTAAGTTTCTCATTGTCTGTATACACCCCTGTAAAATCATTGATCAATTCATTGAATATTCAGTTCAATACTCAGTTGGGACTTTTAATCAAACACATGGTTGACAAAAAAAATAAAAAAAGGCCGACGAATTCTTGTCTCACCAAAGGCATAAATCTTGATGCCCAATCCAAGCATAGATTTCTTCCTGACACCAACGCAGTTGAGTTGTTTGCCATCATCCAATTTAAGTGGGAATGAAACCCCAGTCTTCGGTTCAACTTCAACTGCAACTTCCTCTTCTTTCTTTGTCGCCTCACTTCCATTTGTTTCCATCCCATCGGTTACTTGTTCGGCAGCTTTGGCGATCGCATTCTCAGCAGAGGTCGCCATTGCTGAAACTCGAAAACAGTGAAGCTGGTTGATGTTATTGTTGGTTGGAAATTCTGGAGAGAACCCAGGGGTTTATTAATATAGAAAGAAACCATGGATGGGAAGAGGAGACAAGAAACGCATTTAATTGGCAACTACAAGCCTTAAAGAGGGAGGGGAAGTTTGTTGGAAATTTATCAGTCAATCGGATATGAAAGCTTCACCCAATCCACTTAAATTTTAGGGTAAACTACATTGGTGATCATCTAACTATTGCTATATTTGATTTTGACCATAAGTGTTTATATTTAATCAACCACACCACTAAACTATTTAAATATTTCAATCAAACCACCGTCAATTAACTTTTAATGGAAGAGGTGACACAGTTAAAAATTTGGTATAATTACATATTTAATCTTCAATATTTATATATTCTATTAATTTAGTCATAAATTAATTTGATTAAAATAAAATTTAATCTCTAATTAGATGATGACACGTATCATCACCTTATTGAGCTACAAAATGAAGGGTGAAATAATACACCTAGCAATATTTGAACTTGGGTCAACAAAGCGACAAGCACATGGCTTGATCCCTAAGTTAACAAATTCATTTGGTTTCAATTTACAATATATTTTATATATTTTATTCCAGTTAATGATAGGGAAAAAAAGTGAAATGTAAATTGGACTAAGACGAGATTCAAAACAAGGATGAGATTACTTTAACCATTAAATTCAATAACGTATTTGAATATAATTTATAACCTTTTTATATGTTTTAAAATTTTGTTAATGGAAGAAGTACTTTTTAATTTTTATTTATCAACTGTAATTTATAAGAATTTTTATATATTTTTAATGTTTGTAATGAAAGAAATAATTTTTAATTTATTAATTAATTATAATTTAATAATTATATATAATATTAAAAACTATTTCTTTCATTGACTACAATTCAATATTATATAAAATTATTAAATTATAATTAATAAATAAAATTACAAATTATTTCTTTCATTAAAAAATAAAATATATAAAAATATTATATATTATAATTGATAAATAAAAATTAACAACTATTTATTTCATTAACAAAAATGAAAAATATGGTAAAATATTTTATAAAGTATAGTTAATAAATAAAAATAGAAATTGTTCCTTTCATTAACAAAAATAAAAATATACAAAAATGTTATAAATTATAGTTAATAAAAAATTATTTATTCCATTAACAAAAAGTTAAAATATATAAAATATTGTAAATTATATTAAAATATATGATTGGATTAATGGTTAAAGTAAATTTATCCTTGTTTTGAATCCCGATCTAAGCCTCCCATTGTACATTTTCACTTTTTTTTTGGTCATTAACTAGAATAAGTTATATAAAATATATTGTGATTTTCAATCAAGTAAATTGGTTAGCTCAATGGTTCAGGCATGTGCCTGTCACTATGTAAACCCAAGTTTAAATCTTGTTTGTATATTATTGTTGGAAAAATTTGATAATTTTCGAGCTTTGAATGAGAAATTGATCCAAACGTTGTTGAGGAAAATGTGAAACCAATTGTTGGTTCATACATGTGCAGACGTGCACAGTGTGGGTAACGTTAATGTTCGAACCGGTCAAACTTTTTGTGGGCTTGCGGATATTTTAACTCAAATGTGAGATAATTTCCTCAAATAAAGAATATTTTTTCAAAATTTATTTTGGAATTAAAAGGATAAATATTAAAAGGTCCCTTTAATCAAAAAAATAATTTTAGAAATTGCTTAATTGTTCGATTCTCGTTAATGCTTCATTAGGTCAAAAATTTACAATTGTTCACAATGTGAAATCCCTATAAATATCGTGTTAACCTACTATATTAAATACATTTAAAAAAACAACTCAAAAATCAATTCAAAGTAAGTCTTTTCTATAGTTTTTTGTGATAGGTGAAGATAAGAAATAGTTTGTGATATCGTCAGTTGTGTTATTGTGCGCTAATCATCTCGTTGTTGTATACCGAGAGACAAACTACCAAAGATCTCAAACACCAAGGAGTGGCCGAAAATATGTCTTAAGAAACTGCGTAATTGCATGCCTCAGCTTATTTCTATTCATATATTTATGGTTTTATATTCAGATTATTTAATTGAATATTTTTCATGTTATTAATTGTGTTTGTTTTATTCACGATTCATGTACATGAATCTTACGACAAGATCCTACTGAGAAATTGAATATCGTTTGATGTAACTTGTATGAATCACTGTAATCACCAATTTTCATATTAAAATTACAAGTAATTCAACGCAACCCGAGGCCCATATAATCAGCAGTCCCGACCCGGATCCACCTAGGACCTGACCCGGTCCAAACCCGATTCTGATGTTGCCATACTCGTGCCATACTTCTCTGTCACCAACAACCAATACCATACTGCTTCTCTACCTCACCAAACACTCAAGTAGACTCCCACGTGAAGCAGTTCCATACCCTACAACAACATCATTTCATCACTAAATGCATCAACCATTAGTAGTAATTTTTTTATGTAAATGGGTTATATAACCCAACCGAAAATAATGTAACAAAAAAGGAATTTGATCAACAATAAAAAACAGTTGAGAATTTCTTTTCTTTTCTTTCTTACGTAACAAATCACAAATAAACAAAAAAAATACAAACAAAAAAGAGAAAGGAATACCCACTCGGACGATGGCATTTCACGGCGATTGGGACCTCTGTTCGAAGATCCGAACGGTCAAGGTGGAGAAGGGGAGTCGTAGAACAATATACTCAACTTTGAGGACGATAGACGCGGACGGTGGCGATCGGAGCTCGGGAAGACCAAGTTGTTTTCGACCTTTTTGTGACGAACGGTGCCGAGTCTCGCGAAACAGAGGTCAGATCAGTGACAAGATATCAAGGCGAACCTCCTGGTAAAATTTGGTGACCATCGGCCACCGACGAAGGTAACCACCGATGACAGGTCAGTTTTCTACAGATAGAGGAGCCGATTTTCTATAGAGAGGGCTCTAAAAATAATTTAAAATGAAATAAAAATAAAAAGGGGAAAAGATTGATATTTATAGGAAATGAAAGAGGGAAATTACACCTTAAATCCCCTAAGTTTGGTGTGTTTTGTAAAATGGTCACCTGCATGGACCGTTTTTATAGTTTACCCATTTGATGCATGTTATATTTTTGGTTTAATTTTATGTTTTTCCCTGAACCTTAGGCGTGTTTTACATTATAGTCTCTAGGAGCCTTGTTTAATTTATTTTTCTGATTCTGACATTTGATTTGATTTTGTTTTAATTTAGTCATTATATTGCCATGCTATTTATTTGAAATTAGTCACTGATTTTTGTTTTATTTCATTTTTGTCACTAATTAGT